TCTTGTAAAGTGTTGTGAGGTGTGCTCGATAAGCTTTTCGGGACGCTCGAAGTCTTTGTAATTCTTCCATAATACAACTGGTCATGGCACCAAAATGTGGATTGTTTATATGAATATATTTGACATCTTAATACAAGACATAACTAACATAAAGTCCCAAAACTATGGTCCAAAACGGTCGTTTTATATGAATGTTACGAATCTAAAACGTGTTCGTAAGGCGAGCACTAACGCGCATGCACAAGCAAATACTACGCTTAAAAGTCATATAAGATTAACTATAGTGTCCTTTAACAAACTATGCATAATTCTCGACAAATACAACCTTTATACGGTCGTGTCACCAATGAATAAAGCTTAGCTTATAAATTATATAAAACGTCATGAATACAGGGTGTATGAAAAAAACGCAACCTCGGAATTTCCTAAGAAATCCACTTTCCACAATTCCGAGGTTGCGGGTTTTTTATACACCCTGTATAGCGTGGCATAGCATATGCTGGAGTGTTCTAGTATTCTGATGTTCCCTGTGTTCAAAATTAATATTCTAACTCTTAGTCTAAGGATTAATTTTTCAGGAACGTTTGCGACAAATAGTGTACAAAAGATGCTGTTCCATTTTCAAAAACTCGGTGATAATGGTACGTATATCGTGTACGTATAAAGTCGACAAAGTTTTAAAACAGATTAATTAAAAATTCAGTGTTGGTATAGTAATTAAGTATATATAATTGTGATTTGAAGAATAAATTGGGAAGCAAACTCGTATGTCGATTGTTGTGTCTATGTAAATACTGACACAAGTCAAACGTGTTTTATAGGGGGCGGTCATTAATTATTGGGGGGGGGGGAAGGGCCGGTAAATTTTAGGGGAGGGCTGAGATTTTTTTAGCTTCAATTTGGGGTGGACTAAAATTTTTTGGGTCGATGCTTAGGGAGGGTCACATTTTTTTGAACCTAGATTATACTACCGGGTGTCCCAAAAAAAAGTACTCCGGTTTGATTCGTAATAACTTCGAAACAAGTAAAGCTTTTAAAGAGAAATAACTTGCATCAAATAGAGGAAGCCCTAACTTAGATTTTGATATATTACACTTGTATTTCACTTAAAAATTCGCGTAGATATTAATGTTTAAAATCGGGAGCATATTTCTGGATGTGTCTGAAATATGCAAAAAACGGGGTATCAAATATTAATCAAGATTTGCCCGACTGAAACATGCACTATTACCAGTAAATAAATGACACTTGACAAATTGTTTATTATGAAACAAAGTATTGTTATCTACAAAATACAAGGAAGATTTATTCGTCCGAAATCCGCGTATGCTCCTATAGCACGAGTACGTTTCCTTATTTCATAAGACCACTGACTGCATCGCGAAGGATCGTCATGGATCGTTCGTTTTCTGAATTAGGGGATGCTGTCACAATGGAATTATGAAGCTCTTCTAACTTTTGCAACGTTCTGAAATCTTGTTAAGAACACTCAATCTTTTTTGCTTTTTCTTAATCTTGGCAAGTTCAGAATAAACTAAGAATGGAACACAATCAAACCATACAACTCCGTAAGACACAAAACGTAACAAAATAGAAGCGTTATAATTGATACTGTGATGTGTATTTGCAAAATGCAGTATTATTTCCTTCATTAAAAAATAATATTCATCCTGCTCTAATCGAGAAATGTTCAACTCTGTTTTCAACCCATGAAAAGCATAAAAAATATAGGCTATCTAAGAAAAATTTAAGCGCTTGCCTTGAATGGTCTTTCATGTACCTTTAAGTTTGTATTAAAGACCTATTAAATACTTTACGTTTATATTTCGTAATATAATACGAATTACGTTTATATTTCAGGAAACAATGAGCTTAGATGTAAGATGTCTAAATCTACGCCATATCCCTATACAATCCCTGACGACAATTCGCTGAAATACAAGTTAGCCTGATATGTCATTAAACAAACAAACGCTGGAGTTAATATTTGATATGCCGATTTTCACTAATTTTAGACACATCCCAAATTATGCTCCCGATTTTGAACATTAATATCTCCGTGAATATTTAAGTAAAATACAACTGTAATATATCAAAATCTAAGTTAGTCCTTCGTCTATTTAATGCAAGTTATTTCTGTTTGATAGCTTTACTTGTTTAGAAGTTATTATAAATTAAACCGGAGTACTTTTTTTGGGACACCCGGTAGATTATACACTTATAACAAATAGTGTTACTAAAACAGTGATGGCTTATATTGATCCTCGAATCGATCCTATAGAAATCATTAAATTAAAATACAGTAGATTAATGATCACATTAGTCATTCACGTATTGGCCCAAAGTATGGTGTGCATGTAGATGATTTCCAATAAGGGCCAATATCATCTGAACTGCTGCCCCAATCATTAACAGCGCCATCAATTTACCAGCACCATCAATATCACAGTACCACTGATGATATTGATAGTACTGATGATATTGATACCATCAACATCATCAGTACCATCAATATCAACAGTACCATTAATATCGACAGCACC